TTATTTGACAGACAGAGATCACAAGTAGGCAGAGAGGCAGGCGGGGGTGGGGGGGTGGGGGGGGTGGCGGGAAGCAGGCTCCCTGCCGAGCAGAGAGCCCGATGCGATACGCGGCTGGATCCCAGGACCTGAGCCGAAGGCAGAGGCTTTAACCTACTGAGCCACCCAGGTGCCCCTCAAACGTTTTTCTTAATATCCCTTCTTAGTCTGTAATCAGCCTTGGTGGTTCCAGGAGGTTTTCTTTCTAGGGAGATCAGGGATGGTTTCAGGGGAGAAAAATCTGGTCTTTGCCCTCATCAGCCTTTTTTCTGTTTCTCGTCTTTGTCTCACCTCACTTCTTTGTATTTCCTTTTTCCTGTACCCTCCTACTTTTCTTTTTTTTTTTTTTTTAAGATTTTATTTATTTATTTGTCAGAGAGAGGAAGAACACAAGCAAGCAGAGGCAGAGAGAGAAGCAGGCTCCCTGCCGAGCAAGGAGCCCATGCGGGACTTGATCCCAGACTCGGGGATCACGACCGGAGCCAAAGGCAGCTGCTGAACTGACTGAGCCACCCAGGCATCCCCTCTCCTACTTTTCATATTCTCTTCTACTCCTAACCTATTCTTTCCATGAACACTTTGTTTTTTTTATATTTGCCCTCTATTTTTTAGTATAGAAATGTCAGCTTTTAGGAAAGTTTGGGAGTATTCTTCCCCTTAGCCTAGTAAAATAAATAAGCAGAGCATTAATTAGGAGTAATAGGTCAGACACAGTGAAAAACCAAGGGTCTGTCCAACATAGTTTCTGGCTCTGGATCGTGGGCTCCTAACTCTGATTGAGCTACTCTCTCCTGGCCTTATAATGAGTGGGATTGTCCATCGCTGCTCCCTCTTTGGTTTTCTGGGTTATATGTTGATACTTTTGTGGTGTTTAAGTAGACTTTTGGTTTTGTCTCCCTTGTTGCCTCTGCTGTCTCATCTGTATGCATGAAAAATCCATCTTACTTCTTCCACTGACTCCTGTGGGTTCAGAAAGAATTAAGTCTGAAAGACATATTGGTTTTTGTCCGTTGATCCTTTCTTTCTAGTGTTCAGAATGACAAATGCATCAAGATAAAAACCAATGCCCCTGAAGTCTTTTTTTTTTTTCCTAATATGTGTTGAGAGTGCTTTCTGAGCAGAATGCTTTGCATCCCCTAATTTTTGACTAGTACCCTTCCTGACCACTTGAAGGTTAGCCTCTTCCTTTTTTTTTTTTATACTCTTATGTATCTTTTGTTTTTTTAAGCTTTTATTTATTTATTTCAGAGAGAGAGAGAGCCCAAGCAAAGGGAGGAGCAAGGGAGAAGATGACTCCCTGCTGGGCACGGAGCCTGATGCAGGGCTTGATCCCAGGACCTGGGATCATGACCTGAGCCAAAGGAAGACTCTTAACTGACTGAGCCACCCAGGAACCCCTAGCCTCTTTCTCATACTGATTTTTTTTTCTCCTTAGGTTCTGGTTACTCTCCTTGTTTTATGTTCACATGTTGCCTTAAACTCAAAAGGGAAAAGTTCATGAGATCTTCTACCTGTACTCCTTCTGTATCCATGGTGTTGTCTGGAATCTGGTGTTCAAATATTCTTTGTTGTTTGTAAAACCCACATGTTTGCACCCTCTTGTCTCTTTTAGTGGAATTATTATCTACCAGGTAGTCTGATGTGCAAGCCAAGGTGTCATGTCGTTGTTACCTTCCATTTGTCCCCACATTTTATCATTTGTCTGGATTTCTTTTTCTAGTTCATCCGTTCTTTTACATTTCCATGGCATGGATGCAGGTTCTTATCTCCTGCTTGAGTGATTGTGAAGGCCCAATCTTACAGTCTTCAGAAAGCTCTTACTGCCTACATAACTATCAAGAATTTTTTTAAAAATTGCTAATATGAGTAGTTCATCATCTGCTAAAAGTATCTCCATTTTGGGATAATGAATGTTCCTTTTCCTCACTGTGCCAAATAGGAAATTGGCAAGACAGGACATCTGGGACCTTCTTAATTATACACATACGGAGTTGGTGTCAGAAATGGCTTCTCTATAAAATAAACCATGAAGCACTATTAGGTTGAGCTCCCTTTCCAAGTACTGTGTTAAATATTTTTATTTGTGTTTGTAGCAGGATTTGTAACTGTAGTCATTTTAGTTAACATCAAGAATAAAACTATCCAGTCAGGTGCTGGCCTGAAGAACAGAAATAATTCTATGAAATTATAGTCACTGTTGTTAGATAAACTTGGCTGGATTGTCAGCAAGATCCCATTGATAGTGCTTATGTTTTCCTTTTCTTCTTTAGCCCCAGATTTTGGGTGGAAATGCTGAGCCCCAGGGTGGAGGTACTTGGTAGTAATTGTTAGAAAAACCTGTTGTTGCAGCCAGACAGTAAGACTATTACTGTTTTGGGGGGCCTGGCTGGCTCTGGCAGTGGAACTTGTGACTCTTGATCTTGGGGTCATGAGTTCCAGCCCACAATGGGTTTAGAGCTTACTTAAAAATACGAATAAAATAAAGTTTGGCATAGTATGTAAAAGACTGCTACTGTTCTTAGTTGTATCCAGAACTTTTGGTTCTTTAGAGCCTTGGGTTTGTCCTTCCTGATTATTTCACCACCTTCTGGTGTTGGACCTGCTTACTGGGTTCAGCTATGTATTTTTTTAAGTCTAAAAACAGCAGGTGAACTCTAAATGAAAATTTCTTTTCTGCCCGTTTTGATAACAATAGAGGAATAGAATCTATGACATTTAAAAGTTGATTTTCACTAGAGTTATGATAGCTAGAGAATCAGAATTCCAGAGAGTTCTGCATTGGGAAAATACAATTTGGAACTTATCTGAGAATCAACACTAAAATGAAAGCAAGGATCTTGTCTTATTTAATAAGGAAAGAAACTTACGAGTTTTAACCGAAACAGTTCTGCACATGGGTTTGCCGTCACTTGGCTCACGTGCAGCTCAGCTTGCTCTTGTTCTCAAGGTCTAGGCTTGTGGCTACTTAAGTGAGAAGCAGAAAAAATTCTAAAAAGCTAATAAAGCTGGGATGCTTTGAGTGACTGTGCTTATTCTACAGCTTTTGAAGATCCTGATAGTGCTGTTGATGACCGAGATAGTGACTATCGCAGCGAGACCAGCAATAGCATCCCACCTCCTTACCATACGACTTCCCAGCCCAACGCTTCTGTGCATCAGTTCCCCGTGCCAGTGCGATTGCCGCAACAGCTGCTACTTCAGGGCAATTCCCGGGATTCCTACAATGACTCTATGCAAAGTTACGATCTTGATTATCCAGAGCGGCGAGCCCTCAGGTGGGTATTGGAAACAAAGCACTTCTCTCCCTGGAATGTAGTTTCCAAGATGCAACTGACAGTATTTGGATGCTTTAACCTGAGGTGGTAGTGGGAGTATAACAGAATGATAGACCAAGCCACAGCCATTTTATATAGATTCTCAGTCTTCTTTTTTGTCTTCTGTACATTCACATTTAGACATTTCTGTCATTACTATTCTCTTTATGATCAGTGATTCTCAACTAGTGAGAGCAGCCTAACTTGGGGTGGATGACTGAAAAAAATCAACTCATGCCTCTGCCCAGCCTAGTGATTCTGATACACTCTTCACCACGATTAAAGAAAGAAAATCACAGATGTTAAATTTTTGGATAATCCTTCCTACCTAAATGTTTCCCTGGGAACTTCAGATGATCTCTTAATAGCAGATTCAGTACTTATGCTGGAACTTTAAAAAAAATTTAAATATATAAAACATTGATATGGTTAAAAAAAATGTTAAGGTACAATACAGATGCAGTGAAGAATCTCCCACCCGTACCTGTCCTCCTCTATTCTGTCCCCTTCCTATCTCCTAGCTCTCACACCACCCTTGTTTGTTTCTTTTGTACCCTTCCATACACTACTATCACATAATTTAGGAGTATAAAACCAAACATATGCATATGTTTGTCTCCCCCCCCACTTTAAAAAATAATTCAGACAAAATTTGGGAAAATACTACATTAACACCTGTATTCATGTTGCCTAGATTCATCAATTGTGTTAACATTCTGGCACATTTACTTTTATTTCATTCTCTCTTAGATTGTGTCGTTATTCTATTTCCCCAACTTTTTACCCATTAATTTAGCATCCATTGATGATCCTTGCTTGAATCAATTATTGGTTGGAGGTTAATATTTTAAAAACCATTCCAGTTTAGCTTATACTTTTGGTTGCTAAAATTCACCATACCATAACATATTTCTTTTTGCTCATTTTACCAAACTGGTGAATATTTATCCTGACCCTCAGATGGTTGCCTACCTGCTAGACAACATCCTATCTCAGTTTACTATCACCTCTGAAAATATTTTCAGTGAATTTTTTCATATATCAACCATCACATAGAATTTTTACTCTTTATAATCTGATTCTAAAAAAGAAACATGCCAGGAAGCCTACTGTAGTTGGTCTTTACTTCTTGCTGGTTTATTAGCTGAATATTTGTATTTTTTACTTATTTGATTTTAGTTGTTTATATTGTTTTACTTTAAGGAAAAAAAAACATTGCTAAAAACCCACTACTTTTGACTCTCTTTTCCCCTCTGTATTTGTAAACCTCAGATGTGTAGGCCAGCAGTAATAGTGTCACATCAACCTAAATGACAACATACTCTTCCAAAGCACTGCATTTTACCCAATTATTACCCTATTGTTATTTTGTTTATTTCCTATTAATAATACTTAGAGGAGTATTAGTGATACACTTTAGAGTGCCAAATTTTTGCTAAAATTTTTTAATTGATCCCATATAAATTTGATTTTACTCTATCAGTATATGAAATGAGGTTAAAGAGTGAATATTTTTTCATATCTAGCAGAGAAAAAAATTACGATTATTTACTTATTTATTGATTGATTGATTTGGAAGAGAGCACGTGAGCAAGACAGACCATGAGGTTGGGAGGAGCAGATGGAGATGGAGAAGTAGACTCCCCACTGAGCGGGGAGCCTGAAACAGGGCTCAGTCCCAAGGTCCTGGGATCATAACCTGAGCTGAAGGCAGATGCTTAACCTACAGACTCAGAGAGGCACCCCCAAAATTACATGATTTTTAAGTAACCTTAATACTGAGGAAACATGTTCATTTGTTTCTATCTTTCTTAGAAAATAAAAGGATCATAAAAAGCTCATAGTAGCAAGTAGCTATGGTTATTACTATAGCCGTTCTTTTTTTGATGTGGAAAAACTGACTAAATTGCTTTAATACTGAGTTAAGAACATACAAATTTATCATGTATTTTCAGTCTGAATGGTTTTTATCATATTGACTTTTTATTTTAGTTTTCTCATTGAATATGCACTAAATTTTATACTTTGTTTCTTCCTTTTCCCTGTTTCTTCTCTTTTCTTTGCCTTATTCTTCCTCCGATTTTATCCCTTTACATCAGACAAGGTTTGCAGGCCAAAAATGACAAAATTAGGATTATTTCAGCTTTCTCTGATGTTGACTATGAAGAGCAAGAAAGTATATATGAGGAAATAGAGGGGAAAATACCACAAGAGTTTCTGGAAAGCAGTAACATAAACTTAAAGGAAGCAGAAGTAAAAGAAATTAGAACTCTTTCAAAAACTGATAAATGTTATAGCCAACAAGAACAACTGAAGTACAAGAATTGGAAAAAGATACCATTTCCGGGTCAAGAAACTGAATATTCTACTGCCTTTAATTCTGACCTTAAGTTTGAAACATCCGTGTTCTTCAGATATCCTCAGAAATATGATACAATAGATAAGAGAAAGAAAAACAAGCCCTTACACCATCATTTTGGAGACAGTGAAAGAAGACAGTATGGTGATAGATTAGGAGCTAACACTGACTTCCAAAGTACATATCCTAACACTGAAAATTGTAACATTTGCCACATTGAAAAGAAGAAACAAAATTACCCAATTTTGCACCCTTACAAAAATGGTTTTGTGGTTAAGAGTGGCATATGGACCACTAAGTTGCAAAATCATGATTATGATCTTTCTGGTTGTTTTAAGAATTGTGGGAAGTCATCTGGCTTAAACCAGCATGCCACTAATTTCACTCCATTAGATATTCTTGAAGATTCTACTAGCAGTACTTCTGATGAACTTCTGAGTTCTCCTCTTACTGATAAACAGGAAGGTTTACTGTCACCAACAAGTCATCCATCCAATATCCATCATATTAGAGACTTACCTGAAGAATATCATGTAACAAGTCCAGTATTCTCATTACTGGAGGTAAATTGTGATGCAAACACACTTAGAGATCTGTCTGGGTGCCCCCTGGAAGAGATGACCCCTTCCTCTCTTGAGGAACCCAAGAAGGACTATGTTGATACAATGGGTGAGCTTCAGTGTTTGGTAGAAACAGTGTCAGAATATTTAGCAGAGAAGGAAGAGGAGATTAATACATTTGGTTCCTTTTCAGAAACTAAAAAATCGGTTAAACACAACAGTACTGTTGATAATGGAGAACAGAAAATGCCTGGGGATCAAATACCACCTTCATCCATTGTCAAGAATGACAAGGACAAGGCTGTCTCTTTCCCTGAGCTGAATGGAGTGAAATGTGCTGTTGGTTCTTTGTTCAGTTCACTCACAGAAAAAGTGGGTTCAGGCACAAAGCATCTAACAACCTCCGTGGAAAAGCTGGTTTCTTTAGTTCCAGAGAAAACAGGAACTCTTAATCAAATAGAGACGGTTAATTCGGGATCTAAACCCAGAGCCAAGTCAGTATTGGGGAAGGATCTTTCCATGCAATTTCCATTATCCTCTCAAGCAATTGATAATAAGGATTTTGGCAGAAATGACAAAACTTCTGAAAATGAGCACACAGGTAGTAAAACTGGAAATTTAAGCTTTCAGGATGTAACAGAGACTATTGGAAGGGACTCCACTCCACAGAGTCAGAGTTCAGTTATAAAGTCTGTTTTTAGCATGCTAAATCCATTAAAGATCTTTTCAGAAAAGGATGAAGCCAAAAAAGATGATGCCCAGAACAAGCCAACAAGAAAGGAAAACTTTGTTGGGTGTGGATCAGAGTCAAATCAAAGGGAAAACACTCCTGGCAATAACAGTAGTATCATCACTTTAGATAAGAATGAGGGAAAAACTGCAAGCTCAACCCAGATGCCCTCAAGTGAGGATTTGTTGTTGTCTTCCCAAGTGGCCAATGAACCTTCAAACTTAGGCAGTTCTGCAAATAAAAAAGATGATATTGAAAGTCTTTTGGAAAGAAAACCGTGTACAGATTTGTCTCTGTTACCAAATCAATCAAAAATATGTGCTAAAGACACTCCAGGACAACTTTATATAACTGGCAGTAGAATTGCAAATAAAGAGCCTTCTTCAAAGCCATTAGAGGGGGACAAAGTTACTAGTGATGATGATTTTCTCGAGCCACTCAGAAAATCATTTAGCCAGTTTTTGCTCACTGCACCTGAGACCTGTTCAAAGGAAACTTCATCAGAATCTATGAAAATTCACCAGTTGGAGGAGGGTGGATGGGAGAGGGACCCTAAGAAAGATGGACATTCTTTTTCCTTTAGTGGAAAACTACATGTTCCATTTTTCAGCGTTCTTAGTCATTCTGAAAAGCAGCAGGATTTAAGGGAGAAAGGAAGCATTTTTCCTTTGTTTAAATTTCCTTTCACTGACAACCGTATCACTGTCAGTGACCAGAGTTTTCCTGACTCAGCAGTAACCATTGATGAAGAGATCCAAAGAAACTGCCATGAAAATGCCAAACTTAGTTTAATAAAATCTAGTTCAGTTCCAAATATTTGTAATAATTTAGGGAAATTTGATGATACAGAAGCATTTAATAAAAATGACCAAATAAATTGTCCTGAAGATGACACACTTAATAAAATAAAGTCTAATTCAGTTCCAATTATTAATAATGATTTTGGGGAATTTGGGAATATAGAGAGATTAAATTCAAGTGACCATGCAGCAGTAGATAACTGTCTGATAGATACCTCAGCCGTCCTTGGAGCTGTGTCCAAAGAATATATTCCTTCAGATTCTTTAGAATTAAGTAAGACTCTTACACAAATGACATCTTTAACAGTATCAGACTGTTCATTAGCATCTACTTCTGTCATTTCAAAATCCACCGTGGTTAATGAAATTAATGAAGACAGACTTGTAGATAAAGCTTCCAAGAAAAGAACCCAAGGAGGCCTCCTTTCTGGTCTGTTTAACAGGTTTTCTTCTCTTGAAAATTTGTCTAGTCGACAAGAATTAGATTTGAAGAGTGATGATTCTCATCATAA